TGAAATATTTTGTGACACATGGAGATATAGGAAGAAAGCCCTGCAGATGATCTGCAAAGGCAAACGTGGTTTAATGAAATACTCTTATTTGCAAGGAGTTTGCAGGGACTGGAGAGAGTTTCTCTGTCAGGACAGAGATGGGTTCAGAAGTGGGGCTGATGGATCAAAGAAAGGTGCCCAGGAAGGCAAGGATGCTCTCGCTCCCTCCTGCCCAGCACTGCAGAGCACAAGGCCAGGGCATCATTTTGAAGTGAGGTCTTTCTGGCTCCTGAATTAAACATCAGAAAAAGAGAAATGCTGGTTTCCTTCTGCAGCCCCTCATACAGCTCTGCAGGAACTCGGCCGCAGTGCAGTGGCTGTCCTGAACCACCACCTTTGAGGAGCACTTTCGACTCCCTGGTGTGAGCGGTCACTTTCCCTTCATGCCTTGCCCTGCTTTCTTCTTGCTGAAGCTGCAGGGCAGCTGGACAACATGCCTGTGTCAGCACCTGTCAGGAGGGGACACGTCCCGTGTGCAGCTTTCATCCTTGCCAGCAGATGACCTGAGACAGACAATGGACTTCTATGGGCACCAGACCCGGGAGTTACTTACCCTGTATAGGCTGAGTTTTATTTATTTATTTTAATGGAAAATGTTTGGGCTCAGAAGTATTTTAAGTTTCATGCATTTTTGGATTTTGGAACATTTGCATGTACATAATGAGATATCTCAAGCATGGGATGCAGATCTAAGCCTAGATTCATTAATGTTTCATGTCTATCTTTTACACAGAGCTGGAAGGTAATTTCGCAGTGTTTTTCATGTGCTTGTTTTGATTGTCACACCCAAAGGCAGGTAGGGAATTTTCAACTTGTGTTACCTCAGAGCTCCAGAAGTCTCACGTTTTGGAGGAATTTAGGTTTTTGGATTAGGAATGCAGGCCCTCTATGTCACTGAGGTATTTACTTAACCACTTTGAATTTTAGTTCTGTCACTAATAGTATGGGAAAATGTCACCTCCTTCACAGAATCAGAAAGGATTAACTGTGCAATGAGAGTTAGCCAGCATTTGAAAGGACTCCATGTAGCAGCCGGCGTGGAGTGAGATCACAGTGAATGTCACTTGTGTCCTCAGTGGTGGTGTCAATGGCTGGGAATTTATCACTTACTTTCCGATGGGTAGATGGATGGGGAGCATTATGGTTTACAGCTGAATGTGCCCTCAAAGCCTCATGTGCTGGCAGGCTGGGATGTTTGGAGGTTATTTGACCATGAATGTGCGATACTCAAGAATAGATCAGGCCATGGATGGGTTTATAGCTAAATGTGGTGTTGGGAGGTGAAGCCTGGTGGGATGTGACCTGGAAGAATCTAGCTTCCTCCTCCTTTTATCTCTTTCTGCTTCCTGTCTACCACGCCTTGAGATCTCTCCCTCTGCCAGCCCCCTCTGACATGCTGCCATTCCTTGGGGCCAGCGATGATGGACTGAAACCTCTGTAATTGTAAGCCAAAATATACCTCCCTTCCTTAGAGTGGTGTGTGTTGTGGGGCACTGTGTCTCAGTGCTGAGAAAGTAACTCAGACAAGTAGAAAGCGACTTAGCTGGGATTATTAAGACACTACTAAGCTGTCTGAAAGACAGTAGCTGCTTCTGATAAACTCCAGTCTTGTCGGAGGAGAAGGCTAGAATTGGGGTGAAGCAGAAAGATAAAAGTATAAAGGACAGGGCACCTGAGTGAAGATCAATACCACCTGAGGCAGCACTGTGCAGGGAAGACTGAGCGGAAGTGATAACAAATCCCAGAGGAACAGGAAAATCTAGCATGCCCTGCATACGAACTGGGCTTGAGAAAGGACCTGAGTGTGAAGAAGCAAGAGAGCCACCAGCCCGTCCCCTGTCCTTCATTTAGATGATGCCACCTGGACGGTAGACCCTGAACACATCCCATGCAAGACATTGACAGGCACTCATGTGTGCTGGAGTGTGGATGGGAGGTTTACAAACATTATTATTATTATTATTATTATTATTATTATTATTATTATTATTATTGTTTTTTGGTACCAGGGATCAAACTGATGACCTTGCCAGGCAGGTGCTTATGCCACTGAGCTAAATCCTCAGCCTCTAGTGGGAGGTTTATTACTATTATTAATGATGATAGTACTGGAAACCACAGCCACTTGAACCTAAGCCTTTGGGAGAGCTGCGTGGCTCTATTATTCAGTTGATAATCTCAGGGTTTATTTGCAGGCACGATTGTGAGAGAACCAAGGAAAAGATGCTCTTGCGGTGATGGTGGTGCTGTCCATGTGCACAGGCTTCACCTTTGAGAGCATAAATTGGAGATGGGAGTTCTGACAAAGAAAATATTGTAAGAGTAACAAAGACAGAAAAACAGAAAGTGCCAGAAAAAGTCCTGTGCCTCCTTGTGCTGCTCATCAAAGCTGGGAGCCAGCTCTGGTGGAGCCCAGGCCACACACAAGAGGCAGCACTTGGTCAAGGGACAGGTTAGGGCACAGGGCAGGGAGCTGGAGAGCAGGCAGCGGGGAACAGAAGTGAAAGGGACATAAAGGCCAAGACCTTGGCAGTGCTGGGACATCGCTGTGAGGGATGAGGGAATTTGCAGTCATCTAGGTATCAGGAGTCAGGGTCGTAGAGCTGCTGGCCAAGGCTGCCTCTCCTTCATCCACCTTTCCAGGAAGGAAAATGCCCCAGCCACCTGGGGGCTGTCAGCACCTACAGCTGGGCCACTAAAGCTTGGCGTGATGTGGACAATTCCTTGGAGATGAGTGGAGCTGCATGTCGGGGGACCACTGCAGATGGACTTGAGTGATTACAGGGGTGAGGCAGTGACCCTCAGCTGTGGCTCCCAGGACAACAAGATTGGTGTGAGGATTAGTGGACCTGTAAAGGAAGTAAGGCCTCTTCGTGTAGCTGGTCAGAGACAAAGGAGCACAAAAGGACAATGAGAAATATCCTAGCTTTAAACTGATGGAGCATTTAAACAGTGCACGTGCCTATTCCTTAGGACTCCCTAGTTGGGCCAGGAAACAGGAAAATCACTCATCCCTAGGTGAGACTGAGCTCCCTCCCTCTCTCCCTCTCTCATGCTGTCTCTCTTTCCCTTTCTGTCTCTCCTCTCTTTCTCTTCTGCCCTCTGTATCTATCCCATCTGTCTGTCTGTCTGTCTATGTCTGTCTGTATGTATACATCTATGTATCTATCTATCCACTGATCGTTCTTCTATTTCCTTCCTTTTTCCCCTTATGATATAAGCCATAAGCCTATTACCATCTAGTTCATTTTGGTCTAGAATATTTTGGTTTTTCCTACAGAACATAGCTTAGTGCAGTGGAGTAAATGTGTACAGAATGAGTCTGTAAATAAAAACATTCCTGGTAAGACTCTTACAGAAATGAAAAATCCCTGGCACAGAGTTGGCTCAGCTCCCTAAGCACAGTAGAGTGGTTATGTCTCACTCTTTCTCAGATTTGTGCACCAGCTGATTCCTGCTTTGTGCCGCTGGGAGGCGTGATGGGAAGGTAATGTAGCAGAGCCCTCCTGGACCAGGGACACTGCAGAATTTTAGTGCCAACTTATCCTCTGAAATAATAGCTAACATTTACATGCCAAGAAGCCTTCCAGGGGCTTTCTGAAGATTAACATATTTAAACCTCACACGAGTGCTGTGAAATTAGTATCGTCAGGACTTCTTATACACATGGAAACCTTGCCCAGATAAGTGACTTGTCTGTCTTTATCAGCTTAGGCTGCTGTAACAAAATATCATAGGCTGCATGGCTTACAACAGCAGAAACTCGGTTCCTACAGGGAGAGAAGTGCTGGACCGAGCCAGGGCCAGCCGTGGTGTGTGGTGAGGACTTCCTCCTGGCTCATGCATGATGCCTGCTTCCTGGGGTGTGCTCAGCTGGTGGGAAGGGTGGGGCAGCTTTCCAGATCTCTCTGTGTGGCACTGATCCTATGCCTGAAATCTGTGCCTTCTTGAACTAATAGCCTGCAGGGATCCCTGCAATACCATCACAGCAGCACATTAGTGACGAAGTTTCTGATACTTGAGTTTGGGGGAAAACATATTCAATCTCAGCACTAAGTCCCGAAGCACAGGTGCCTGAACTCAAGGCCACATGTCCTAACTTTGCTGGGTGCGAAGGGTTTTCTGACTCAGAGCGTGGCTTTTTTATTAGAACTATTGTTGTTTGTTTAATTTCTTAGAAATATGTGCTTCTAATTTCTTAGAAAAAGCTCCTTTAATTTCTTAGAAGTAAGGACTAAGCAGAAGACCAAACTCTAGAATCAATTTTTCAAATCGTACCTCTCAGTAATGGTAGGAGTTTACACCTGAATGCTGGGTGCCTGTCCAAACAATTGCCCTACTCCTCTCTTCGTGATAGAAGGAGAAAATGGAAGAGATGTTCCCGTGCATTGTTGATGTAGCAAACCAAAGTCATCACTGTGTATCAGTACATATAGCAAGGCTGAATCTTTTCCATAAATAAGGGAGGTGGATTTGTCAGAGAGGTTTAGCTCTTGAGACTCCTCACATGAATGCAAAGTATAAAAGGTCTAGAGGTTACTCAGTCCTCGTAACCAGCAAAGTTCTACTAGAGTTTCTGTAAAAGTATTTGACTTTATGAAAACATCAACTTATAATTGTTTTCACTCACAACTACAAAGTGCTGTAAGAATATTATATATTTGAATGATGAAAATTATTATATACTAAAATTTACACAAACAATGCATGATGAGGAATTTATGACACTCAGAAAGACAGATGGGAGGGAGGAAAGGAAGAAAAACAGAAAGAGAGACAAAGGGAGAAAAAAGGAGAAGAGAGAGATCTATTTAAAAAGATACAGAGATGTGGGCTATTACTTAAACTCCAAATAAATTGATTATTGTACTTTTAGATTTAATTTGTGATGACATATGTTACCAAATAATGACAGTACATCAATATTACTTATTTTACTTTTATAAATTGCACATACAATGTTTGACATGTTAGATCTTTAATTCATAGTTTAGCCACAGTGATAAATATAACTGCACAAGGATACTCTTTCCACTTGAGTGAATCTCTGCATTTGTATGACAAATAGAATGTTAGGATGTCTCTGGAGGCTTCAGAATTGAATTATCACATCACTGATACCTTGTTATTAAAGGCATCTTAGATTAAGATAAAATACTACTTGATGCTCAAAGGTAAGCTGATCAACTAATTACTTGATAAGTTTCCAAAGAGATTCCCAGAAAACAAATAGAAGCACTTCCGAAATTGAAATGTAATTATAAAGTAATGAAGATTATGTAGCGCTTGGGCCCCTGAGTATTGACATGGAACCATCCAACACATGTCTAAGAAAGGGTATGAATTTCCTGAAATAAAATGGTTCTGCATGGCTTTCCAGGATGGTGACCACAGGCAGGAACCTAGATGGGCTTTCATTTTTGGTAAAAACAGCTGATGCTGAGCATCCTTAAGTCACAGACAGCTCAGTGACATCAGAGAAGTGTTTGAAACATACGGACCCAGGATTGTCCCATCGACTGACTGACAGCCATGCCTCTGGAATCCTGGAAGCTTCCCAGCTTCCATGTGTGGTGTTTCTTCAAGAAACTCATCTCACTGTTCAGCTAACCTTGTCACACTGCAGCTGCTTAATTTGCAAATGAGAATGATAATTCCTGTCACATGGGCTCATTCACTGAACTAATACTGCAAGACTAAAATGAGAAGCAGGATCCAGTACAAGAGACAGACAAATCATCAACTAAGGACACATGTCCAGTGGTGAAGACTCTGAATCCTGGGGCCTCTGGTGTGATTGCGCTGACAAAGATCATTTGCACAGAGGAGAGGAGAGGATTGCACAGAGGAGGTGTCTCTGTAGACATCTACAGGAGATTCCCCCAGTCAGCAGAAGGAGCCATTGTGACGGGAATGAAGTGGGATCATCTTGGCTTACTTGGGGGAGACACTGCACAGACAGGGAAAGCACAGTGCCTGTAAAGAAATGAGGGGAAGTGCAGAGAGGGTGATGAAACCAGGAGGTGAGCGGCCGGACCTCACTGTCCAAATGCACTGGCGAGTCTTTCTCTCTCCAGTGAGGCGCTGTAGCCCAGTATCTCTGAGACCTTTTTGCTAACATCTGAAAACCTTGGACGTGACACAGCATACATGTTAGGAAGCTGGTGAAAGATGGAGTGTCTGGGGACTAGGGGCCTGAGGAGCAGGTGGCTGTGCATGCAATGATTTAGTATTTGCTACCATATGTCCTGGGTGGGACACTGAACAAGTCTCATCTGGTTCTGCTGGTGTGCAATGACCCAAAGCAAGCAAGCAAACAAATGAGAAGAGATGCAGGCGAAGCCTGTTCTTCCAAAACCGTGGCTGAGAAGGCATGACTTATCACCAGGAAGCCTTTTTGGTAACACTTCCCAAACCCTGCACCCAGAGCACCAGGAAGACAGCAGCATATCCCACTCTCCTGCCACTCTCCTCTGTGTGCCCAGCAGACGTAGGCTGTGTGTGCGGATGGGGTCAAACAGAAAGCTGGGCTTTGTATTCCTCAGCCACAGTACCAAGTATGCTCAGATTCTCCTGTTGAGAGAGAGCCAGTGAAGTCCAGTGAAATGTGTTCCCATCCAGCACCTAGAAGAGTTAACAGGGAGTTAGACACACGAATAGACAGCACCGCACTCCACATCCCAGGGTCAGTGGAGCCCAGAGGGACGAGAAGCTTCAACTCATTTCCATGGGGTGAGTGGTGAGGTGTGGAAAGGAGCCTGTTGCCCTGTTTGTCTCTCCCTTTGTCCTGGGGTAAATGGGACCCAGGAAAGGACTGAATGTCTGCGCTCAGCATCCAGTCACAAAGTAATGCAGTTGTTTCCTTTTTGTAGAAATAGGGCACAGGGTGGCTAACTTCATCTCCTTCACTCAGAGTAAGAAGCCCCAGATCCAAAGGGAACCACTCTGGGCAGAGTATCCTCACTCCTACTGATCCACAGAGAGGTAGGTGGCTTTCAGAGCATGGCACCTACTCACATGTGCTACACCTAAAGACTGGGAATCCTAGCTAAGGTAAGAAAGCCACGTGGCATCCAGAGACTTCTAATAAAGTATCTAAAATGGCCAAGGAACAATGAAAAGTCACCTATCGACCCAACACAAGAAGCCCATAATCAGCAGAGGCCAGGGGCATGACAAATAAAGCTCTGCAGTCATCTGAGGAGGGTTTTCAAGCAGCCTTCAAAATACTTCCATAAGCAATGATGCATTATCTTGGAATATGTTATACTTTAGCAAATTTTAATAAATAAATAACAGTTATAAATGCAAATTATAGAATTTATAATAACACCAAAACAAAACAAAACAAAACCCCTTCCAATATGGGAGATGGTTGAGGTGGCAGGAGATAATGTCCCTAAAATTAGAATCTGTCCAATCTAAGAAAAAGAGAAAAGGCAAATTGAGAAGAAAAAAAAAAAAAACATAACAAGCAAACCAATACAAAACAGAGGTTCAGGGATTTGTGAGATTTTCTCAAAAGTGCTAAAATTTGTCTCACAGAGTAAGAGAAGAGGAGGGAATTAGGATTAAAAAGTATTCACAGAAATAATGTCTGAAAACTCCACACGTTTAGCAACACTATGGATATGTAGATCCAAGAAACTGCATAAACCTCAGCGTAGCTAAACCTAAAAGGTTCATATTGCAATGTTGGAAGTTTGATTTTCACAAACTAAGCACCAGTAAAAAAAAAATCTAGAATAAAAAGGCAGCAAGAAAGAAACATTCAGGACAATACCAACTTGAAAAAAAGACTTCACCTGAAATGGCAGAATTTAGGAAAAGGTAACAAACTGTTCTTAAACAGTGAAAGAAATGCTTTGTCAGATGTGAATTCCATGTCCATGAAAATATTCTCCAGGTGAACACAGAAAATGAAGACATTCTCTGACAAATAAAACCAGAGATTTTTTTCTACAAAACCTACTCTAAAAAAAAGACTGACTGTCTGTGCTCACCATGCAGACACAAAACAATGTAAGTAAGTCCTTTGTTAATTAAGAGACTTCTTTGTAGAGAAAAGAAATAAAGTGGAAGGTTTGCAGCTTCAGACAGGAAAGTGTGCTAGACCTAGACTGAGTCTGCATGTTCCCGTTACTGTAAGGAAATACCTGAGAAAATCAGCTTGAACAGAAGACCTCTTGGTGGGAACGGAGGGCAGAGGAGACCTGTCCACTGCATGGAGCCAGAGAGCAAAAGTGGAGAAGGGAGGTGAGGGACCCCATACCCCCTCAAAGGCGCCTCCCTGTAATGTGGCGTCTCCCCTTGAGCCTCACCTCCTAAACACAGCACAGGTTGGAGATCCGCCTTTAACAGGAGGCCCTTGCACACTTTCCAGTTCCAAACTACTGTAATGAGCACCAACAAGAGTATACAAAACGTACTACACTGCTGTTCGTGACTTTCTTAGGTTCTATTTGGTCGTGGAAACAGAACTCCTACCATCTGATGTGCTGCCCATCGTATACACAGGAAATACTTCAGAAATTTCTAGTTTAAAAGTGTCTGGGAGGTTGTAGTTAGACATTTACATTTAAAAAAAAAAATTCTGCTCTTAACTCAAAGTGATAAAGTGTCCGTACTAATAGACCATCATGAGTTTTGCATGTAGATTTTAATACAGCAACCACAAAGAAAAAAATACAATAGAATGTAATTAAAAGTACTGTAAGTTGAGATAAAATTCTCCAGATTATTCAAATAACTCATATGTGGGTTAAAATATAAGAGACAGAAACAGAGAAAGAAAAGGACTGAAGAAGATAAAAAATTATAAAATGCTAGAATTAATCCTTAACAATCAATGGTTTCTTTAAAAGTAAATGATCTAACTACATCAGTCAAGGGACAGATAATACTGTAGAACCAGACAATGTAGAATGAATGACACAATGTTTGCTGCTTATGAGAAACTCATCTGAAATTCAATGACATAAGGAGGTTGAAGGTGAAAAGAAGTGGAAAAGATGTAGAGAGGCGCAGCATAAACATTTTTAATGCTAGATTAGCACATTTAATCTAGCAAGACATTATAATAATTATATGAGCAAATACACTGATTCCAGCTCTTCCATCAGTGCCACCCACAATGTGAACAAGTAAAAATATAAACACTTTGTGGTTATACCCATAAATGTAAAAAAGGGACCTGCCAGAATCCAAAAACCATTCATAAAAAAAGAAACCACAGAAAAATTCTCAGTAAACTACAACAACATGAAATTCCTAAACTTGATGAAGAATGTACAAAAGCTTGCAACAAACATACTTACCTGAGAAAGACTCTGTTGCTAGCGTTGGAAACCATTCAAGGACACTTTTACTGAATATAGCATTTGAAGTTCTAGCTATGTTAGTAAGTCAACAAAAAGACACAGAAGACCTTCAAGTTAGAAAGAAAGCAATAAAGTTATCTTAGTTTGAGGAAAACCTAATTGTCCACACAAAAATCTCCACAAATTAAAACAAAAACTATGAAAACAAATAAAAGTCATTTAGAGCTTATCAGTAAATCCAGCAAAGTTTTAGGCTCTGAGAACACACATAAGACTCACACACATTTTCACAATCTAACAACCAACATCCAGAGTGCAAAGCTGAAAGCATAGTAGCATTCACCACTCAGTGAATGAATGTAAACTTTAACAAAAATGAAACACATGTGGAATCTATGTGCTGAAAATCACAGAATGTTAAGAAAGAAATAAAATAGTATGTAAAGAAATGATGGAAGAGAAACCCAGCATTCCTAAATTGGAGGATTCATGTACTAAGGACATCAATTTCCCTCAAAATGAGCTAGCAATGAGATATTTTTATCTGAATGCAGTTTTTATATGCCTGCACTGTTCAATGTAATGAAAATTCCAGTTAGTTTTTATATACAGTGACAAATTTATTCTGTAGTTCAGACAGAATGGCAAAGACCCTAAAATATTTAAAACAATTTTGGAATAGATGAACAAATTGGGGAGAATCACTCCACGTATATTAAGGACTGCTCTCTAGCTGAAGTATGTGAAACTGCATGGCTCTTATCAGGAGAAGTACATAGGTTAATGAAGCAGGAAATCTAGAAGTAGTCACATAAAATATGGCCAAGGGACTTTTGGGAAATGCATGGGAACTGTTCAAAAATGTTTAGGATGGTGCTGTGCACTGAAATAGGCTTCCTTTCTACAGGTACTGACAGTTCATATGTTAAAGCTCTCACTCTCAATATTTGGGGGTACAGCCTTGGTGGGTCACAAAGGTTAGCTGAGGTCATGTAACTCCATTTGTTTCTTTATAAGAAGAGCAAGAGGGGACTCACTTTTTCACAGCCATGTGAGGACATCCTGAGAAAGTGTTGTCTGTCAGCTGGGAACCAAAGACCCAGCACCTCTAGCCTGCACTCCAGGATCCAGGAGATTGAGAAATAAATGCCTGTCATTTGACCCATCCAATCTGTGGGTTTTGTGTAGAAGTCTGAGAAGACTAATATAAATAAGTGGTTCAGGAAACCCAGACATCTAGAATCAGAAAAAATGAAACAATTTATATCTTATAACTTAGAAAAGAATTAAACTAAAATGGACCATAGACCCTTGTCTCAAACCCACCCCCAAAACCAAAAATAAAAACAAAATCCCAAAGGTTACACATTGTATGACTCTATTTATGTATTATTCTTGAAATGGAAAAACTAAGAAAAAGGAGAAGAGATCTGTGATGGATGGGGTTAGAACAGAAGGGGAGAGGGACAGCTGGGTGGCTATAAATAGGGGGTTTCAAGGAGCTTCAAACACAGTGCCTCTGTTGATAGCTTGAATATTGCTGTACTGCAGAATCATAATGCATTCTGCAGGTGGATGGTAGAGGAGAGCCCCGTATCGTGTCTCTCTCTCTCTCTTTTTTTTGTACCAGGAATTGAACTCAGGACCTCACTCTTACCAGGCCAGGTGCGTGTGTCACTGAGCCAATTCCCCAGCCCTATATTGTGTCTTAAAATTCACGTGAATTTGCAATTATTATGAAATGAAAAGGGTAATTAAAAAGGAAAAAAAAAGAACACATCATTTTTCCTTGTAGGATTAAAATCAGCCAATGCTCGCTCCAGGAAGGAGTTGGGATTTGGGGCCTTGTCTTCAGCAGGGTGCTGTGTTAGGTTTGGGAAGTTTAAGGTAAGGTTTGGTAAAAATTCACAAGGAGCTAGGGTCAGGCTGGATCACGGTTGCATAGCGGATGTGGAGAATGGTCTACATTCTAGGACTGTTTGGAAGCAGGGCTGCCATCCATGGCCAAGGAAGTGGATTTGATCAGTAGATGCCCACACTGTGGGTTCAGCCTTCAGCACCTGGAATCCGAGCTCCCCCTCTGACTCTATCAGACCCATCTGGTGCCCCTCCATATTGGACTTGAAAAGCCCCAGCTCTGTTCCTTTCTCTAGCAAATTTCTACTTCCTCTGAGGTGCCAATTGGAGGTTATTTTGGGGTGCATGACGGGCTTTTGAATACTTTATTTTTTAAAACATTCTTAGAATTTTCTCTCAGATACTAACTTCAGATACAAATGTAAGCTCGTGACCTGGGTAGGAAGG